CTACGAAAAGTGGGTCAGGGGGGCGCCCCAGAGCCCATGATTCACTGTGGTCCCCCCTCTCCCCGCCCCCCTCCTGGGACGTGCGTGGCCCGTGAGCACATCTACGAAAACAAAACCACTATCTCTTCTTCCTGGAGAAAGTGGCCTCCAAAGGCCGGCTTCTCTCTCTCTCTCTCTCTGCCTCTGTGTGTGTGTCTCTCTCTCCCTCTTTCCAAGGGCTGGGACGCCCAGTCTTGGGAACTTTGATTTCTCTTCCCCAAACAATTTGAGTCTTGTGCCCCCTGGGCTTTGCAGAGGGTCCTTTCAGACAGGGCTGGAAGCCAGAGTCTTCAGATTCCTTTTGGGTTGGGAACCTTGTAAGTTTTTGTTGAACTCAGAAATTGGCATTCTTTCTCCCTTGCAAACTACACTTTTCAGGCAAGCCATTAATATAATCAAAAGTGTAGCTCCAGAGATAGTGGATTCCCGGAGCAGGGGAAGAAGGGAGACGTTATCTGGCCTAGTTTGTTCTTGGTTTTGCCCTCTTCACTCATATGCATAGCCTTTCCCCCATCCTTTACTTTTCCTCCCCCTTTTATTTTTGAAAGCAAGATTAATCAGTGCTGAAAAGATGACTTTATTATGTTTAAGATTTAAGAACATTTGTAATCTGTTACTGAAAGAAAATATTTTCAATTTTAGGTAAAAGAAACAGTCCTCCTCCTCCAAAGCTTCATACTGTACAATTTTTGTTAACTTTTTCCACTTGATATCTCCATGTTCTTTTACCTCAGGGTGATAAAATGTTTGCTACTGATAATGCCTCCAACTGGTATTGTATAGATATTCTGCTTTTCTGTTTGCCCCAGGAATTGGATGAAGTAATTGATCACTAATGAACTACCGTGCTGGTGAGATGGGCAAGGTGAGACTGAAGTTAAAAACTATGCCCTGTTTTCCCTCTTTATTGTCACCAACTCAAGGGTAAGACAGCCGCTACTTTCCAAGCAGATCAGTCAGCCAATTGGGATACAGGCAGGGATAGAGTTAGCAAAGTTGTACCGTCCTTTTTAGTGGCTCCAATTTATTCACACATAGTAGAGCTTGTCTAGAGCCAAATGTTATTTGTGGCTATCCTTGATCAGTGTCTTCTCCAGGAGTAATTATAGTTTGCCTCTTCAAATTTCCTTGTGTAACTTTAATTGGATGGTCTGGTTTTTATCTGTTTTGATGTCCACACTGAGTATAAGCACTTGAGTAGATAAAGTTCACACACCCACAGTTTGTGGGACTTTTGGGAAGAAAGACTGTTTCCATTGGAAATAATAATTTTCAGCAAGCAAATCACTTCTGTTATTATTTTTGAATTTAGTTTTTTTGTTTTGTGGTGCTGGTATATACGAGACCTGTGTGTTTACACGTAGTAGACAAGTGCAGAATGATTGAGCTACATCCCCAGCCCCTTTTATTTTCTGAAAAACTGAATAGTAAATGTCAGATAGAACTTTGAAACAGAAATGATAGTGTTAAATTCTGTGTTGCTTATTGGGGATGTGACTACTCTGTCATCATTTCTGGTTCTATATGGTGTGTAAGTTCAAATTATTGTTTATCCCATGGACTTTTTTTTTTCTGGACCGGTCTTTACTACTGACCTTGATCCCAAGTGCTGGGATGCTACCATGCCTGGCTTACTGACGTGGATTTAAAGGACTTATATGTTAGTGAACAGTTTGTACCGTGTACCAGGGAGAAGAAATAAGCTTGCTGTTTATAGTTTTCAACCAGTTTCTCAAATTAAGATACCTCTGGTTGCTTTAGAACAGTAGTTCTCAACCTGTGGGTCCAGATCCCTGTGGGGGTCCAGATCCCTGTGGGGGTCCAGATCCCTGTGGGGGTGCAGATCCCTGTGGGGGTCCAGATCCCTGTGGGGGTCCAGATCCCTGTGGGGGTGCAGATCCCTGTGGGGTGCATAACAGATATCCTACATGTCAGATATTTACATTACAGTTCCTAACAGTAGCAAAATTAGTGCTATGAAGTAGCAATGAAATAATACTGTTTTTGAGACAGGGTTTCTCTGTGGCTTTGGAGTCTGCCCCGGAACTTACTCTATAGACTAGGCTGGCCTTGACCTTCCAGAGAACAGCCTGCCTCTGCCTCCTGAGTCCTGAGATTAAAGTGTGTGCCACTGATGCTTAGCTTTTTTGGGCAGGGGCAATGAAATAATTTTATGGTTGGGATTGCCACAACATGAGGAACTGTATTAAGGGTTGCCCCATTAGGAAGGTTGAGAGCTACTGTTGTAGGAAAATAATAACTATGGCCAATTGATTTATTGCAGATTTGTTTATTATTTTAACCCCTTAACATATTTGGCTATCTAGATTTTGAAATACAAACTTTTCATATTACATTTTTTATTTTTTTTAAAGAATAAGCTGTGTTCCCCAATCCCTCAAGATTGATGCATATAGTTGATAGTTTGCCTTTGAAATGCAACAAAAGGAGTATGGACTTGGGAAAGGGAAGTGGACATAGACCAAGATTCTTTTAGCACATAACACTTCTATTTGTGTTGAAACACAGCTGAGCTTATTTTAATTTTAATTTTTGGCAGAGCAAGTACAGACTTTTTTTTTTTTTTGGTTTTTCAAGATAGGGTTTCTCTGTGTAGCTTTGGAGCCTATCCTGGCACTCACTCTGGAGACCAGGATAGCCTCGAACTCACAGAGATCCGCGTGCCTCTGCCTCCTGAGTGCTGGGATTAAAGGCGTGCGCCACCAATGCCCGGCTGCAAGTACAGACTTTTAAATTTATTTTGATTATGTGGATGGAGGCATATTCTTGTCTTAGACCTCCCAGTTGTAACTCTTCCTCTTGTCTTGTTTGGAATCCATAGGTAATTTTGTGGCCAGGAGCCAACTATCTGCTCCTTTTTTTTTTTTTTTAAAGTTATATTTATTTATTATGTATGCAACATTCTGCCTCCATATATGCCTGCATGCCAGAAGAGGGCACCATATCTCATTACAGATGGTTGTGAGCCACCATGTGGTTGCTGGGAATTGAACTCAGGATCTCTGGAAGAATAGCCAGTGCTCTTAACCTCTGAGCCATCTCTCCAGCCCCAACTATCTGCTCTTGTTCCCAGAAATGTCCTCACTTGTAGCCCAAAAATTAAGTATTTAGGAGTAGATAATCTTGTGGAGCTACTGTTCCTTAGCCTGACATTCTTCAGTTTCCATTCAAGCAGACAAGTGTTGTTACTCTCTTCAAAGTGAAGCTAGTGGTTGGCCATCAAGAAACTTGTTACATGAAGTTGTTTATGTTTTTGCAGATAGGGTTTCTCTGCATAGCCCTGGCTGTCTTGGCACTTGCTCTGTAGACCAGGTTGGCCTCAAACTCACAGAGATCCACCTGCCTCTGTCTCTCAAGTGTTGGAGTTAAAGGCGTGCGCCACCACCACTGTCAGCTACAGGAAGTATTCTAAAATGGGAAATACTATAGTGTCAAAGGTTACACTAGAGTAGAATCTGTCTTTGAACTGAGTAAATACAAGGCTGCTTAGTCTGTCTTTTGGCTGGTAAGCTAGGGCACTGTTTTCAGATAAGGTTGGATTTTTGGAGTAGTCAGTTAATATAGTCTGGCACCTCTTTTAGCTGGTAAATTTGCCTTTTGTCATTGTTAGTAAGAAATTTTATCTTCATACAGCTTAAATGGATCCAGTCATCATTGTCTTTAAAGTTTCTATAGATACATGGACTGTACAGTTTTCAATGGCTAAGAAAAAAAATGCTAAAAAACAGAAGTCATTCCTGCCTCTGAAGGGCCTTGTGAAACTTAAGTCTGCAGCATGTGCTCTGGAGAGATGGCTCAGTCATTAAATGCACTTGCTCTTGCAGAGGCTCTTGGTTCAGTTCCCAGCATCTATGACCACTTACAACTGTCTGTTCCAGGGGATACAGCACCCTCTCTGACCTCTGGGCACCAGGTGTGTATGTGGCATACAGACATACATATAGGCAAAACACTCATACACATGAAATAAAAATGACTCGAAAGAAATGTAAAAAGTTTAACGTTTTTCATGAAAAGCTGAGACTAGTATAGAGGGACCCTCAGGGAAGTTGACTAAATCTGCTCCTGTGTTCTCTGTTTGAGAAGTAGACTTGACAGTAACACTGAATGTAAATCAGCCTCTAATTGTCTGTCACTCACTGTAGAAGATCCAAATGCAGGCCAAGTGCAAGCAATCCAGTTCTTAGGGTTGTTTATTTTCATAAACCTAGGTAAACATACTTGCAAATGTAATTGTTTTGCTAAGTAGTATTTTGAAATGTTTTCTAGAAGAGAAGTGTAACATGGAGAGAGTGCCACATCAGCTTTCCTGTCTCTTTGGGGCATTGGTGTGTCAGGGTTACTTGTGTAGCATGAGCTAGCAGCACAGAGTACTTCTCCTGTCACATCGGGGTGGCTGATGTGACATAACACTTACGTCCTGAATCTGATAGTTAGCATTCCTCTTTTTAAGACTATCACTGATACAGAATATACATGTCAAGTACACTTTGAGTTTCCTGAGAGAAACTGAAAGTTTCCAATTTAAGTCAAAAGTCTTATCAACTTTGTATGCTTGTAACCATTCTGGGTCAGCTCTTTTTTTTTTTTTTTTTAATTTAAATTCTTTAATTGTTACTCATATTTACATATCTATCCCTCCCATTCCCTCGCCCTCCCATCCTCCCATGTTCCCCCACCAACCCCCCCAGCCCATCCCCAAACTCCTCCCCAGGGATAGTGAGGCCCTCTACCAAGGACCTTCAAAGTCTGTCATATTGTTTGGGGGACTAGGAATTTGTCTAGTTTTTGAATAAAAAAACCTGGCTTATCTCGTATGTATGTATGTGTGTATGTATGTATGTATGTATGTATGTATGTATGTATGAGAATGTATATTCGCACATACACATATCTAATTAAAAGGTTTTTTTTCTAATTAAAAGTTTTTAATGTTTGTGTATGCCTGTGCATGCATGCATGTGTGGAGGTCAAAGGGCAATTTTGTGGAGTTGACTCCCTCCTCCCATCTTCACTTGATCTATAGATTGAACTCGAGTGTCAGGCTTGTGCCTTTGCCCACTGAGCCACCTCTCCTGTCCTCATCACATTTTTGGACTGATCCACTCTGAAGTGTGAATGATTGTGAGTTTTATTTCTGTGCTGCATTTTCAGTTTTCTTATCACATCGGAATTTGCTTTTTCACTCCTTTGTGGAAACTATACCTTATGTTGGAAAGATTCTTGCAAACACAGCCTGTCAGGTATATTTATAAATAATATAGTTTGAAAAGTTACACAAAAATCATGCATCCATATGGTAAGTTAAATTGAGCAATACTTGAGTATAAACAAAGAAAAATTAAGAATGGGGCTGGGCAGTGGTGGTACACGCCTTTAATCCCAGCACTTTAATCCCAGGCAGAGGCAGGCAGATCTCTGTGTGTTTGAGGCCAGCCTGGTCTACAGATCGAGTTCCAGGACAAGCTCCAAAGCTACAGAGAAACCCTTTCTGAATGGGGCTGGAGAGATGGCTCAGTATGTAAGATAGAACATTTTTGTGCCCAGCACCCACACTGGGTGGCTCACAACTAGCTGTAACTTCAGGTCTTCTCTAGCTTCTGTAGTACTTGAACACGTGTGCCATTTCAACACACATATACATTTAAAAATCTATAAATGAATGTATATACACAAACATATTCACATACCTCCCGCCCAATACATTAAAAAGAAAAAGGTTAAAAACAAATACCCCTCTCTCCCAAGCCCCTGGTTCCCCTCTGTCTTCCTCTTCTGCATGGCCTTGGTAAACAGCTGGGTGTCATTTAGGTTTTGGAAGACCCCTCTGATCCTGGCTATAGTAGAAGTAGAGTGAGAAATCCAGAAGGCATGGCTGTTGAACTAGACACTGGCTGCCTATTCTGATGTCCTGTGACTAAATGTTAGTGACAACCTACTGTCAAACTGTTAAATGTTTAGACAATGAGTCTTGAGGTCAGGCTGGGTAAGTTTTGATTTTGTTCATCTTTTATTTTTAGATTTATTTATTTATTTATTTATTTGTGTTTTGAGACAAGGTCTCTATATTGCCCTGGCTGTCCTGGAACTTACTCTGTACACCAGACAGGCCTCTCACAGAGATCCTGCCTCTGCCTCCTTAGTGCTGGGAGTAAAGGTGTATGTACTATGCCCTACTGCCATTGTTGGATTTTTTCTTTTCTTCTTTCACATGCTGTAGTGTTTTGCCTGCATGTATGTCTGTATGAGTGTGTCAGATCCCGTAGAAATGGAGTTAGAGACAGCTGTGATCTGCCATGTGGGTGCTGGGAACTGAACCTGGGTCCTCTTAACTACTGAGCCATCTATCTAGTCCCACTGTTGTTGTGTTCTATGATAAACTTCCCCATATGTTTACTGTGGACTTTTTATAACCTGCCATCCCCAATTCTCTAGCATTTTACAAGACAGTTACTTCCATTTTGGGAAGGTAGAAATTGACTAACAATAGTAAAAGAACAGTTGAATGGTGGACTGGTGTTCTTTCTGGAAAGCTTTGTTCTTTATCTCCGTTTAGTTTTATTTTCTCATTTTTTTTTCCTTTCAGTTTTGTGTAGCCCAGGGTTGCTTTGAACTATGTAATTGAGGATAACCTTAAACTTTTTCAAATAAAAATTTTAGATTTATTTTATTTCATGTATATTGAATGTCTGTATGTACGTATACTACATGCATGTCTGGTACACTTGGAGTCAGAAGAGGGCTCTGGGCTCCCTGGAATTGGAGTTAGAGATTTACATGTAGGTACTGGGAATTGAATCCTGATCCTCTAAAAGAACAAGTGCCAAACCGTCTTTGTGGGGAGTGTTTTGAGATAGTGTTTTTCTGTGTAGCTTTGGAGCCTATCCTGGAACTCACTCTGTAGACCAGGCTGGCCTCGAACTCAGATCCACCTGCCTCTGCCTCCTGAGTGCTGGGATGAGGGTGTATACCTCCACTGCCAGGCTTTCAACTTTGAACTTTTGATGGTCCTGCCCATTTCTTAGGTTCTGGGGTTATACACATGTGTCATCATGCCAGTTCTGGGTATTGAACTGAGGACTTATGAATGCTAGGCAAGCACTCTTCTCCATAACTTTCTCATTTTCCAGATGAGGGAATGTAGGCCAAGAGAAACTGACGACTTGCCCCAGGTTATGAAGGTCAGTCGTGGTAGTATACCTAGAAGCTTGTGTCAGGGCTTTGGTCCATGGAGAGATCTCCTATATCTGATTGTGTTACTGTGGACAAAAACGCCAGATGCTGTGCATAGTAGATACAGATACTTCTGGAATGATACATGGATCGTGTCTATGTTCATTGTGTATTTTTTGGAGAGAGTGTTTTGGTGTATGGCCCAGGCTGACCTCAAATCCAAGATTCTCCTGCCCTAGTCTTTCCAGTACTGGGATTACAGGTGTGTGCCACCACATCTGGCAATCTGTGATATTTAAAGGCTTTTTTCTCTCTTTCAGAAATTATAAAGAGCTCTGATGGGCTATTTGGGTGATACCCAGTGCAGTGAACTGCAGGTGAGTATAGATGGCTTAGAAGAGCATTATGAAGGAGGGAAAAAAAAAAAAGAACCTCAGTAATATCATAAGAAGGGACAAGAGAGACATTATCCTGTTACTTTTATTAATTTTTTAATATACAAATTAATGGGTTTCATTGTGATATATATTTTCATCGTGATAGTTTTATACATATGTTTAATTGTACCTTGGCCATGTTTGGAGACTTCACCTTGACAAGAATGTCTGGCTAGAAAAGATGTGGTGAGACGAGGCAGAATGGGCTGGCTGAAGTAGGCAGTCTGGGGCTGTGGGACCTAACCAAGCTGGCTGCTTCAGCACCAGTTGGACAAAGCCAACTCAAGGCACTGCCTGCTGCTGTGTTTGACTAGTATGGAGAGATCAGGGGCAGTTTGAGGGGAGGTTCTTCTTACACTTTGTTTCTGAGACTCAGTTTATCTTGTGATGAAACTGGGCGGGATGTGCCGTCAGCCTCTTTGTGAGTGTTCTTAAGTGCTAATCATCTTGTGTTCTGATGGCTAAACACTAAGCTGCTTTCTACTCTTTATGCTGGGGTATGGATGACTATGCATATGCATACATATATACGCTTGTATAAAATACATAGTGTATATTATGTACATGACCAGTTTGGAGGACTTAAATACTGGGAATATTTCAGTAGAAGCAAAAGGTGAGACTTTGTCCCTAAGGGTTATACTATACGGCCTTTACTTACACCATCAGACCTTCGGATTACTTACATTTTCTGAAATGCCTACCAACTAAAGAGAGTTAGCCAATTTTCTTAGTCTATTCTCTTGGACTTTGTTAACATAGATCTGAGTTCAAGGACAGCTTGGTCTACAGAGTAAGTTCCAGGACAGATTCTAAAGCTAAACATAGTAACCCTGTCTCGAAAACCCAAAAAACTAAAAAACAAAAACAATCTAATAAATTAATCCAACACTAGAAAGGCTGAGGCAGGAGGATTGACCCTGTTTCAAAAGAAAGAAAAAAGGGAAACTGAGGTGGAGGTAGCCATGGTATGGTCGTCCTGGCCAGGAGTGCACACAATTCTCTGTTAGTGCCCAGCAGAGGGGTGGGTGGTTGTGTTCTGAGGACCTAGCTCCCAGTCTCAGACACTTGTTTGCTGGGTGTATTAGAGCTTTCTTTTTGTTTTACATTTATCTTGTTTATTATGTTTGTGTTTCTGTGTGTGTGTGTACGTGCACAGTGTGTGTACATATTTGTGTGGGGGTGGCCACAGAGGCCAGAAGAGAACCTGAGTGACAGATTCCTTGCCTGGAGTTACAGGCACCTGTGAGCCACCTGGCCTGGGCACTGGGACCAGAACTCTGGTCCTTTGTAAGAGCAGTGCATGTTCTTAACTGATGAGCCATCTTTTCAGCCCCTGGAACTCTCTTTTTCTTCATTTATCCTTCTCTCATACAATACATCCTGACTGCAACCTCCCCTCCCTCCACTTCTCCCACCCACTCTCTCCTACCACTCTTGCACCCCAAGATCCACTGCTCATCTGTTTCCCTTTAGAAGAGAACAGGTCTCCTAGGGATATCAACCAAACATGGTGCAACAAATTACAGTAAAACTAGGCACAAACCCTCATCAATGCTGGACAAGGCATCCCAGGAGGAGGAAAAGGGTCCTAAGAGCAGGTGTCAGAGTCAGAGACACCCCGACCCCCACTGTTAGGAATCCCACAGAGACCCCAAGCTAACAACAACATACATGCAGAGGACCTGGTGCAGACCCATGCAGGCTCCATGACTGCTGCTTCAGTCTCTGAGCTCCTATGAGTCCTGCTTAGTTGAGTCTGTTGGCTCTGCTCTCCTGGTATCCTTGAGCCCTCTGGCACCTGCAATCCTTCCTTCCCTTCCCTGAGTTCCGCCTAGTGTTTGGCTATGGGTCTCTGCATCTGTTCCCATCAGCTGCTGGAGGAAGCTAGGCACCGGTCTACTTTAAATTATGATATTAATAATTTGATACTTTAAAACTTATTAGATGTTGATAAACATTTCATCTTATAAATTTCATAATTTAAGCCGAGCATGGTGGTGCATGTTTTAATCCTAGCACTTGGGGGCAAAGGATGACAGATTTGTGAGTTCAAGTCTAGCTTGGTTTACAGGACAGCCAAGGCTAGACCAAAAAAAAAAAAAAACCCTCTAAAATGGGGGGAGATTTTTTTACAATTTTAATTTATACATGGAATGCTTGCTTGCAAAAATAATTTAATCCAATTTACACTGATTTCAGATACTCTATGTAGCCTCGGATGACCTGGAATTCATCTCCTGAGTACAGGTTGTAGTTACCGCACCAGTTAATGTGGTATGGGAACTGAGCCCAGTGCGTGATAGAAAAACACTCTCCCAACTGAACTGCATGGCCAAGTTTATATATGTCTGTCTTTTGCATTAGTTATTTATGTTTCTGGATGATTTTTCAGTTAGTCAGCTTTAAAAAAGATGTATGTATGTATGTATGTATGTATGTATGTATGTATGTGAGTGCTCTGTTTGCATATAAACCTACACTCCTGAAGAGGGCATTGGATTCCACTATAGGTGGTTGTGAGCTACCGTGTGGTTACACACATGTATATCTTCTGACTATGTTTAGGATAAATTTTGGAGTATGCTATTATGTTAAAGGATATTTATGTTAATGAATGTTTTTATGGATTTTGATGTGTGTTGTTTTACTGTGGCACCAGGATGTCACGCCAATTTGTACTGCTAGCAAATACAGATTTTCTTGTGGCACTGTAAATTGGATAGAACTCCATGTTCCTGTAAACATTTTCATCTGATTTAGCAGTATAAAAGGCTCTTGTATCTCATTGACCTTTAATGTTGTGTTTAACTATTTGAGTCATCTTTGTCTTTTTCTATTGCATTGTTATATAATCAAAACTGATGTGGGCTTTGCATGGTAAGGCAAGTATAACCAGCTAATGGATAATTGTTAGGAAGACAGCCAGACCGAGCTCAGTGAAAAAGCTTGAGGTGAGGATATAGTCTGAGTGGTAAGTGATATTGGGGATTGTGGCTGAAGGGGGATAGTTAGTTGGTGATTCCAAGATCCACCTTAGCAAGTGTGTATTGGACATAACTGTAGCCAGAGCTTTTCTGTCCTGCCTGCCAGCCCTGCAGCCGCTTACAAAATAATCACTCGGGCTTACTATTAATTATAATTGTGTGGCCGATGGCTCAGGCTTATTACTAGCAAACTCTTACATTTAAATTAACCCATTTCTATTAATCTATGGATTGCCACATGATTATGGCATAACCTTATTTTCCACATGTTTTGCTTCCTCTGCTGCTGCTAGCGTCTTCTCTTGTCTCTTCCTTCTTTCTCCCTCCATCTCTGCTTGGATTTCCCACCCAGCTATATTCTGTCCTGCCATATCATCAACCAGTTCTTGAACACATTTGCAGAGTACAGAAGGACATCCCACATCACATATCTACAACAGGGTTGTGCCACCTGAGTACTTTATTTATCTGGAAGGTATATACTGGGGTGAAGGAGGAGTCTGCTTGAGGCTTACTCATTTGGGGCTCCGGCTTCTGATGTGATGTCCCTTGTGGTTGAGAATACCACTATGGTAGGATATCCCTAACTCATTCATGGCATGTCTGTGCCTCAGCACACTCTTTGAGAAACTCTGTTCTAAGAAATAGAAGCAAAAGGAAAATGTAGTTCCTTCTAGAGAGGAGCTAACTGTCTTGTAAAGAGAATACAGGTAACAAGAATGGAAAGAACAAATACAGATGAAGTGCTTAGGGACTTGGTGGGGGAATGACCTAGCCCTCTTGGGATATCAGGGGACAGTCTAGCCTGAAGGGGTGCATGTAAGTCACATGGAGATGAGAAATTGAAAGAAGAGAGTGTAGAAGGAACCCTGGGTTAGAGTGGACATGGTGGGCGGGGCTTGAAACTGCATCCTAATTCCATGGGTCTGGGTTAGTAGTGGAGTGAAGCAGAAGGTGATGCTGCCCCTGATCAGGATTGTGTGAGGGAATCAGCTAAAGGAAGGGTGCTGAGGGCTTGAACTAAGTTGGTGGTTTTAGAAGGCAGTAGGGTGTAAGAAGTATAGCGAGATTGCTGGTGTTGTGGTGACTGCTAGTGACAGAGGGCACTTTTAATCACTGAGCCATCACTCCAGCTCCTGGTCTTCTTAAATTTATTAAGGAAGACTGAGAAAGAACCCAAGGGGTAGGAGCTACAAAGGAGGAAGACAAATACCCTAAGTCAAGGCAAGGAGGAGCACCTGCAGAATTCCTTCTTGCTTCAGCTTTGTGTTTTGCTAAGTATCTTGAGATGCTAAGCCCTTTTATTTTTGCCACAATAAAACTTGTTCCTTGGGCTGGAGAGGTGACTCAGGCATTAAGAGCACTGGCTGTTCTTCCAGAGGTCCTGAGTTCACTTCCCAGCAACCACATGGTGGCTCACAACCACCTTGAATGAGATCCGGTGCCCTCTGCTGGCATGCAGGCAGAAGACTGTATAGACTGCATACATAATAAATAAATAAATAAAATCTTTAAAAAAAAAAAAACAACAAAAAAAAAAAAAACAAAAAAAACTTGTTCCTTGTTGAAAATTATAAAGTGCAGATGAATTAAGAGAAACTACAACTTTACCACCCAGACCTTCCCATTTTAATTTTTTTGTTTGTTTGTTTTTGAGACAGGGTTTCTCTGTGTAGCTGTGGCTGTCCTGGGACTTGCTCTGTAGACCACATCAGGACCACTGGGGGCTGGGCATGTTTTTTTGAGACAGGTATTCTCTATGTAGCCCCAACTGTCATTCACTCTAGGTTGGCCTTGAACTCACAGAGATCTGCCTGCCTCTGCCTCCCGAGAGCTGGGATTAGGGCAAGTGCCATCATGCCCTTCAGCACACTTGTTTTAATTATGGAGTTGGCTCTTTCATTTTGATTTGTTCACCTCAGCTGTTTTGAACTATAATTTAGTTGCATATCT